ATTTAAAAGTTAACTCAGCTCGCATCAATTTCTTGTCATAAGCGGCCAGGGGCCGGGGGAGGGAGTATCTAAAAGCTGATCCTCAGTTAGCAGAGCTGACTCTCAGTTTGTAGAGGGCTGCTTCACTCATGTAAACAGAACAAACAGTTGTAAAGTAGAGTTACCCACTGTTAATAGTTAATCCTTAAGCTGCAGATAAAGCTGCCAATAGCCTGCTCTCATTCTCCTAGGCTTACAACTTTATATTTCTTTACTTTTACTTTCCTATTTCTGGAATCTTAATTGTGGTTATATTCTTATTCTTGGATCCTTCATACAGCCCACACTAACCTCATCTAACTATTTTGTGGCACAATCCCCAGACACTGGGGTTACAGGTGAACATTGCAGGACTTTTCTGTCTTTCAAGGAACAGCACAAGCTCCTGGTTGTTTTTAATCCTATAAAGATTGAAAGATGTCTACTGTTAGGAAGATTTCCAGAGCCATGAAAGGACAGGGAATCACAGCTTTACACAAGCTAATGTAGACATCAGAGGACACGGGCCAGGCCTCCTGGGTCCAGGTTGACTTGGAGGAACTGTCATGAGCCCATCCTCTTTCCCTTTGCTCTCCCCTGCTCTTCATCAGTTTTGGACCCCTCCTGCCTGATCTTAGGCATCAACTCTCTTTGCTGCCATGTGGTATAGGATATTACAATGCACACATTAGAGTTCTCCAGGTTTTAAATTTATCAAATTCTAGGGAGTACATATTAAGTTGTTCCAGATAATACTATTTTTATTGGTTTTATTGAGATCTACACTTTTCTCTGCTTGCCTTCCTGCTTGTTCCTTCCCCTTCAATCCCCTCCCATGGTCCCCGTGCTCCCAATTTACTCAGAAGGACTCATCTTTTTCTACTTCCCATATAGATTAGACCTATGTATGTCTCTCTTAGGGTCCTCATTGTTGGCTAGGATCTCTGGGATTGTGATTTGTAGGCTGATTTTCTTTGCTTTATGTTTAAAAACCACTTATGAGTTAGTACATATCATAATTGTATTTCTGTGTCTGGGTTACCTCATTCAATATGATGTTTTTTAGATCCATCCATTTGCCTGCAAATTTCAAGATGTCATTTTTTTCTGCTGTGTAGTACTCCATTATATAAACATATCACACTTTCTTTGTCCATTCTTTGGTCCAGGGTCATTTAAGTTGTTTTCAGGTTCTGGCTATGACAAACAATGCTGCTTAAAACATAGTTGAGCCCATGTCCTTCTGGCACAATTGAGCATCCTTTGGATATATACCCAAAAGTGATATTGCTGGGTCTTGAGGAAAGATATTTTCTAATTTTCTGAGAAATTGCCATACTGACACCAAAGGAGCTGTATCAGCTCTCATTCCTACCAGCAATGCAGGAGTGTTCCGTTTACCCCACAACCTCTCCAGCATAAGTTGTCATCAGTGTTTTTGATCTTGGCCATTCTTATAGGTGTAAGATGGATCTCAGAGTTGTTTTGATTTGCATTTCTCTGATGACTAAGGATGTTGAACATTTCCTAAAGTGTCTTTCAGCCATTTTAGATTCCTCTGTTAAGAGTTCTCTATTTAGGTCTGTATTCCACTTTTTCATTGGATTATTTGTTCTTTTGATGATCAATTTCTTGAGTTGCTTGTATATTTTGCAGATCAGACATCTGTCTGTTGTGGGGTTGGTGAAGACGTTTTCCCATTCTGTAGGCTGTCGTTTTGTCTTCTTGACTGTGTCCTTTGCTTTACAGAAGCTTTTCAGTTTCCTAGTAGCCACACTAGTTTGCCATAGAAACCAGGCAGTAGTTGTGCTTGCCTGTAAACCCATAATTGAAGAGGATTATAACACAGGAGGTGATAGCTCAGGCTCAGGCTCATCCTGAGATCCCTGGAGGCAGGATCACCATTTAGGACTGAGATAGAGGTAAGAGGCTGTCACAGGCTGTTTAGCTTTTCTGGTCTTCAGATTGAACCTCAATATTTGTCTCTGAGTTTTTATTAATCATGCTTTATAAAACAAAAGATTGTTCTCTAGAAAATTACAATGGAAACTCCTTACCTAGGAGCAAAACCAAAGAATTCACTGAACATGAAGAAGTTGAGCTGGTTCCTACATGGAGCCTTCACCTCTACATTCTAGTCTCTCTGGTGAAGGAAGGTCCTCTACAGGCTACCAAAAGAAATGCAAACACCAACCAAGTCACAAAGCCTTCACCTACAGTCTGTCCTGCCTACGAAATATGCTAGTGCAATGGTGGCACAGAACTGGTGGCAGTAGCCAACCAAGGTTGGATTTGACCGAAGGCCTGCACCAAGGGAATGAACCCATACCAGACATTGCGTGGGTGACCAAGAACCAGAGACTACATAGCCCAGAAACCTAGGGTAAAATCCAAACACTACTGGATGATAAATAAATAAATAAATAAATAAATAAACAATGTTTCCTTTTGCTTGCTTTGAATTGTGTATTTGTGGGTCTTCTTGTGTGTATATACATTTGAAAGGATGGTTGGGGTGGTCACAGCTGGTAGATTCCTGAATTTACAGGCAGCTATGAGCTGCTTCATGTGAGTGCCAGGATCTTCTACAGAGTAATAAACACTCTTAAACAATAGGAAAAATCGTTGCCTATGTCATCAGGAGATGGACTGTGTACACTCCAGGTCAGGCCCTGGAATCTCTGGTAAGGAGAAGATGAGAGGGTCACACTGACCGGTGCTGATGAAGGAGAAAGTACAGTGGGAGAGACGTGAGTAGTTTGATGCTTGTAACACTGAAGATGTGATTTTGTCCTGGGAAAGAAAAGGAAGGACAGAAGGTTGGGTACATGAGGCCATTGGAAGGAACCAAATTCTTTCTGCTCTTCAGTGAAAGGTAATACTAATCCTGCATCTAAAATTAGTCATTTGGGATGAAATATAGCAAAGGACCTGAAAGGATGACAACATGCTCTTTTGCCATGTCACTGAACTTCTCTCTGTATTTCTCCCCTTTGTACTTTTCCCTTATCATTGAGGGCATTTATTGATCTCTTCACCGTTCAGTACTGATTTTCCCTTTCTCACTTGTCCCCCTTCTCATCATCCCAGTCACACAGGTACCTGAGCAGAAGTGTCAGGAGTGTGGAAAGACAAACTCAGCATCACAGCAACAATGTCCTCATCAGTACTGGGGATGGTCAAGGAGGAGGTGACCTGTCCTATCTGTCTAGAGCTTCTGAAAGACCCTGTGAGTGCTGATTGTGACCACATCTTCTGCCGAGCCTGCATCACTCTGAACTATGAATCCAGAAAAGGCAAAGAAGGGGAGGGCATCTGCCCTGTGTGCCGAGTGAGTTACCTGTTTGGGAATCTGAGGCCTATTCGACATGTGGCCAACATAGTGGAGAGGCTCAAGGAGTTCAAGTCCAGCCCAGAGGAGGAGCACAAGGTGAATGTCTGTGCAAAGCATGGAGAGAAACTCCAGCTCTTCTGTGAGAAGGACATGGTGATCATCTGCTGGCTTTGTGAGAGATCTCAGGAGCACCGTGGTCACCAAACAGCTCTCATTGAAGAGGTGGCCAATAAGTACAAGGTAGGAAGTGGGAGGGTGTGGGACACAGAGCAGGACACAGTAACAGATGGGAAGTCTCCACTTTGTGTAGATGTTTTTAATGTTCATGTCAGGTTCATTCATACAATCTAAAATTCAGTCTAGTAACTCTCAACAGTGGGACTAGTAAATGAATGTCATATGGCAGTGAGGAGAGTGTCTGTGTGGCCTGTGTAGTGTCACATGACTCAATTCCAGAACTCTGACTGCTGATGAATTTGAGGGTATAGAGGTCTACAGAGGAGTTCCAGGACAACCAGGGCTACATAATAAGATTCAGCTTCAAAAATAATTTGCAGTGCCAGTTGTGGTACTTGGGATGGATGTATATGTTTATAGAAAGACCAGGAGAGCTAACAAAATTTCCCCAGTTTTCTGATGCCAGAATCAAAGTGACAGGTGTGTACTTGGTGGGATGATTGACTGAGAGAGATTTCTGTGTCTGCCTGTATGGGGCTGTGTGTGTAAATGCAAGAATGAATTGAGCCGGAGACTGAAGATTTACCTACTTTATGTGCATAAATCATGGCAGATAATATTAAAAAGAGAACAGTCTTAGACCTCCTGTCTTTCCAGAAGGGGTTTTTGGCCTTTGGCTAGGAGTAGCTGTCCTACTAAGCACACAGCTCGACGCTGTTACAATTCCTCTCCCACAGCGGATGCTCCAGGCTGCCCTGGAGTTGCAGATAGCAAATGAAAAAAGATGTGACCAGTGGGAAGATGACCTTCAAAAAGAGAGTACTTCCTGGAAGGCAAGTGGGGACCCTACCACCTAAGGGAGTTAGCCTGATGCCTGGGAGAAACAAGGGCAAGAAGCTCTGTGGCTCTTCATTCCCTGGAGGCTGATGGGGACAAGAGCTCTTGATTGGTCCTCTCTGCCTGTTCCCTTGGAGCTGGGGCTGCACAGAGAGTGCATCACAGCTGAGCCTGGCTGTGTGAGGAGCTGACACCATGGTGGGAGCCTGGTGAGAATGGCACTGAGTCCTGGGACTTGATCCTGTGGTGCTTTCTGGAACTGTGACTGTTGGGAAGAAGCTTCAGAATAGTCACAGTTCTATTCTTGGGGTTAGCTTCTGTCAGGGGTTCAGAGGTAGAATCAGGGGTACTGCAGGCAGGAACAGAGTTTGGACAGCTGAGTGAAAACCGAGTCACACTCATGTACCCACTTTGGCTCAGGTGGCCTTGGCAAGATGACCTAAGGTCTTTGTTTTGGAATGTCATGAACAGACGCTGAAATGAGACAGATGGTTCCCTAAGACTGCCTTCCCTTCCCAAGCTCAGTTCCTGTGAGAACTCCCCATCAGAACAGTGAATTTCTGTGTTCCAGCCCCATTAGCGAACTAAATTTGTCTCCATTTTCTTATGTCTGAAGAACCAAATGCAGAGTGAGGCAAAAAACATTCAGAAGGAGTTTAAAGGACTGCGGGAATTCCTGGACTCCAAGGAGAAGAATGAGCTGCAGAAGCTGAAGCAAGAGTGGGAAGACATTCAGGACATCCTGGAAGATTCACAAAATGAGCTGGTGAAGCAGAGGGATTCAGTGAGAGACCTCATCTCAGATCTGGAGCAACAGTTGGAGTCCTCAACCATAGAGATGCTGCAGGTAAGACTGCATGCAGAAAGAGCCAACATCTGAGAGTCAGGACACCTGGAAGCCATTTCCCTCCTTCTGTGCTGCTGTGATCTCCCTAGTGAAGACAGTAGGGCTCTCTGGACCCTCCCTGGACTCTTTTCAGAACCAGTTTTAGAGGCTGGGGAATCACTGCAAGCATGGATGGCAAGAGGAAATTGTATGTTTTAGTTTATCAAGTACAGTACAGTAGCAGAATCATGTAGAGAAGTCTGTTGTATCATGGGTAGTTACTCCCCTGCTGAAATGTGAGCATGTGTGAAGCATATCCAACAGTCATTACTCACTTTATCTGAATTTGAAATTACTGGAAATGGTTTCTCCCATTGGATGTTTAGAGTTTCTCCCCACAGCCCTGATTCAATGGTCTGGTCAGTGGGAGGGGAGTTGCTATCCAAGACCTTAGGGAGTTTTCCTCCCTCTGTCTTTGAGTTTCTGAGATGAAAGGTACTTTCTTTATCCTAACACGTATAAATTTTATACTGTATTTTATCTCTATCACACTTTTAAATCATTTAAACCAAAGGTATATTCTGGTGATGAAAATCTCTGTAAGAATTTGTTTCTTTTGTCTGAATTGTCAATCTCTTGGTAGTTCTAGGAAATTTTCATGCTCCTTTAATTTCTTGGTTTCCATCATGTTGATTTAATTATTATCGAGGACACTCCTTTATCACTATGTTAGATGGAATTAGACATATTTGGCTAAACTAAGCTAGTTCACAGAAGTAATAACTATAGCCACCATACTCTACAAGCCTGAAATTGTATGTCTTGATCAAAGAATTAGCCTACCATTCTCTGCCTCCAACCCCTGATGATCCAAATCCTAATCCTTACTCTTGTGAGATCAGTTTTTGGATACTACACTTACTTAAATAGGATCACTTAGTGTTTTTTTTTTTTTTACCCAGATGGTTTAGTATAACACAAATGCTCCGAGTGCAGCCAGCCAAGTTACCACAAATGGCAATACTTGCTTTGAATGTCTAATATTTTAACCTCCATGTTTATCATGTTTATTTTATTCCTCTGGTTGTAGTTTTCCAGTGGGCTCTATTTTATCTGCTATGATAATGACTCAGTGAACGTGAGCATATAGATGTCTCAGTGAGGACAAGTTTAAACATCAGTTTTGACCTATAGCTAGAATTCTAGTTCTCTAAAAATTCTTTTTACCATGGATCCCATTTATTGGATTATGTTATATAAACTACATGCATCTACTACCTATGATCCCAGGACTTGAGAGCATCTCATACACAGAAACAAAAACATGAGAACATAACTTTGGAAATAAGATATAAGCTTCCCAACCTGCAGCCAGGTGTCCTGGCTCGCTCCTTTAATCCCAGCAGTTAGAACACACAAGCAAATGAAGGTAGATGAGTTCAAGGCCATCCTGGTCCACATAGTGAATTTCAGGCCAGCAGGGTTCCATAGTGAAAAACAAACATGGTCAAGGTGGATAGAGGAAGAGACTACAGAATGTACAGTTTTAAATGGAAAATACATAGTCCACTTCTAATGAAAGGCCCAGGGATCATTGCAGAAGGAGGGCAGAAAACATGCAAGAGCGCGAGGTGGTGGAGGAGTACAAGAGAAACAGCGTCTTCTGGACACAGCTTAGCAGCAGCACATAAGACCTGGGATTGGCTGTGACACCAAACCCAAGACCCGTGCAAGCCTAAACCACACCAAATTCCACTACGGAAAGTGGACTTCCATAGGAAGTTTAACCAGACCCAAGGAGCTCCTAGTAATAGTTATCTGTAAGGAGAAAGATCACATTTCTCAAAGAATTTAACTTTAGTTAAATCTACCAATATCCGGTAGAATCCGCACATGTGAGAACACTTGCATAGTGTTAGGTCTCAATCTGGGGACGAAGGACTCACAGAGCTGCCTACTAAACATAGCAAAGTGGACCTGGTGGGTCAGGCATCGATATCTGTCCAATATAAAGAGCCAAGTTAATATTGGACAGCAGAAAAGGGAAGATGGGCAAAAAGGTTTTTTAAAAAAAAAAAAACCAACTGTCCATTTTCATTTCTACATGAGTAGAACTTGTCAAGATGTGGTCCTGCCCATCATTCTCCCATCATTATCTGGTACAGACTCAGACCTTATGTGGTCTGGCAAGTAACAAAAACAGCGTGAAATCTTTCAGGAGGTCAGCTCTCATCCTGGCTAGTGGTGCTTTCCTTCTCCCAGTGTGAGATTCCTGGAGAAATTCCACTTTTAGAGGGGGTCATTGTTTCAAAGGTTTGTCAAATTGAGAGGCACACATGTCTCTTTAGAGTGACTTCTTTTCTTGCCTGAAAAACTGCAGAGAAAGAAGAAAAAGGAAAAGAAAGATATGGTTAGCTGGACCTAAGTATCAAACAATCTAAGCTTCTGGCCCTTGTGGCTTCTTCATTGTTAACATATTGAATTGTGTATAAATGACTGAAATAATATGAAAATAAGTTTCTAAGACATGTTAGTAGCAAGGATGGTGATAGGTAGCTGACATGGAACTCAGAAAAGACACATGTGTTTATATGTTTAGTTGTATGCACAGCAAAACCTATGTAAGTTTTCAAACCTTCATTTATTCTTCTTTGGTCTCCAAATTCTTATAGTATGAGACAGAAAATATTGTACTAGTATACATATAAAACAATTAATGGGCCTAGCATCGTATTTATTTCATGTCTTGGAGAACTTTGGGTGACAGATTTGATTCTCTTTGACTTTGTCTCTGCACCCAGTGAGAGTGAGACCAGGATTTGCAAGAACATGAGAACATGTTATTGAGTGTGTTTTCTTCTTTCTCTCTAGGGTGTGAATCATGTCCTAACAAGGTATGTGTGGGCTGACATGGAAGAATAACCCTGTTGTGTACTGAGAATGATTTAGTATCTGACTAGAATAAATCTTTCATGGGTTTGGGGGAATTTAGACAAAGTGTTATTCTGAAGTTGCAGTAAGAAGGAGGAGTATGCAGGGAAAGACAGGCTCTGACTGTTTTGTAACTACTGGGAACTGATTTGATTCTCTTTTAGGGGTCTGGGTAAGGGGAGTCACAGAGTCAGGCTCAGCAGTGGGAAGAGGCAAATGGAGCCACAGGAGCTTTCAGACTCCTTGTGGTTCCACCATTCTGTCCGCGCTCTGTGCTTGTGTGTGGCTCTGTCTGCAGCTCACAGGTACTTGATTCACAGATTTATTCTAGATAGGGTATGTCATCCTTGTCTGCAGGGTTCACAGAATTGAATACTGGGAAAAAGTCCTGTGGATCTGTGTATTTCGCGTGAGGATAAAAAAGGGGGTACAACTGCTCCATGTGAACCACACACTTCAGAAGACTGGAAAGCTGTGCCCTTTTGTGTAAAGAGTCACACCCAGGCTGTCAGCAGCAGACTCATGTTCTTGTGTCCAAAGTCCTGATCTCCAAAATACCACCAAGAAAGAAAATTGATGGAAAAGAAAAAGGGGGGGAGTATGGTGGCCAGGCAAAATAAAGAGGGCTTGGAGAATTCCAAACCTGCATTGCATAGCTACAGACCCAAACCCTCCAAAATGACATAGTTAAACACTTGGGGTTTGCTCAATCTGTAAGAAGTTACAACATTGATTCTCAGCATGAGGATATCTGGTTTTGTTTGTCTATTTCTGATTGTCGTTGCCCTGTGGGGTCAGGTGATGCTGGGCTCTGATTGGCTTCTCCCTATGGCTGGGACTGAGGCCAGACTCTAAGGTCAAGCTACAACTAAGGACAGGTAAGGGACAGGCAGATACATCTGACTGACTGACTGGGACTGCCTTGTGCTGAGGTCTGGATATTCAGTGCCAGCATTAGTTTGATATTTCAGTCTTCTTTTCAAAAACTGTCATCTCTTAAAAAGGAAACTGAAGAGTCAAAAGCTAGCCAAGAGTGTCCAGCTTGACGAAAGTGTTTGCAGTCCTAGCTTTTTCCAGTGGATTCTCCACACTCCATGACTTTATTACCCAGGAGCAGCTTCTGTGCCCTGACTTTAGTTGGTCCTGGAAAACACAAATTTTCTTATTTATTTGTTTGTTTGTTTGTTTCTTTGTGTCCCTCTGTCTGTTTGGTTGTTGGTCAGTTTTGCTGTTGTTGCTGTTGTTTTTCTCGCAGGGTTTCTCCGTGTAGCCTTAACGGACATGGAACTCATTCTATAGTCCAAGCTAGCCTTGATATCAGAGATCTACCTGCCTCTGCATCCCAAATAAAGGGATTAAAGGCTTCTAACTCCATGCCCAGCCCACATAAGATTTTTTAGTCACCTAAGTTTGATTTGTTTTGAAATTCGCTAATTCATCATTTCTTAAAAGTCTAGAATGAAGGATACAAGCTTAGGGAGCAAGTATTTGGTTGTGCAAGTGAGGAGCTCTGCTCCAAAGAAGTAAGGCTTTCCCAACATCACATAGCAAGTAAGCAGGAGGGGTCATGAGTGTGTCTCTCATGTCTGCAGAGTTAGTACCTACCCTCTCTTCCCCTTCTCAGAATTCTCAAGAGAGCTCTAGGACCTCTATGGTGAGAAGGATAGGAAGTGGTAGGGAGTCGATTGTGGTCAGAGGTCACACTGTTTGAGTTGTGGAAGTCAATCTTTTGTCCCTAGGAGTCAGAACTTAAGACTGAAAGAGCCTGAAACGGTTGCAAATAAACAGAGAAAGACCTTCCTAGCTCCAGATCTGAAGGGCATGCTGCAAATGTTTCAAGGTGAGAGCAGCTACATTCTGTGGTTGCCAGGGGGACTCTAGGGGTGGCTGGGGCTGCACACTCTGGTTAGAGAGTGATGTTTCTGATCATGGATAGAGAGAAACTGAGAAGAGCAGAAAGTGTGTCCCAGTGATGTCATCATATTTAATGGACAGCATCATTCATCTCGTCCTATGTCACAGTTTCCAGATTTTCCCCCACTCTGCAGAGCACATTGACTATAATGTTCTGATTCCCTTGCTTGCATCTAATGCTGTGCATTTTCATCATTTCAGGGTTCCAGGAAGCCCAGCACCACTGGGGTAAGGAGAAATCACACCATCAGCCTCTCTCATCTTGATGTCTTTCAGAGTTTATTTCTCTACTAATAATTACGTTTTATGTTATTGCTCCCAATATGCACAGCAATCTGCCTCTCTTTGTCCTTAAAAATGTCTCTACCAAATTCCCTCTCACTTTCTTCTCAGGCCTCTGCTACTTAAATCACAAAAAAGGCAGTACCTTGTTTCTCATGTGACTCTTAATTTATATGTTTTATTTTTCTGCAGTTCACGTGACCCTGTGTCATATCAACATTAAAAACATTGTCATTAACATGGACAAAAGACAAATACAACATAGAAGTGGTTATAGAAGAAATTTGCAACTTTCTGAGTCTTATGATTTAGGTGTCCTGGGGTTTCCTTCTATCCACTCAGGGAAACATTACTGGGAAGTAGACGTGTCTAGATGTGATGCCTGGCTCCTGGGAATAAACGATGGAAGATGTGCTCAACCCCAGCTTCCTTCAATGAATCAACAGAGCGTCAAAGCCAAATATAATTCTGATGTTAACCAACATGTAAATTATCAGCCCAAATGTGGCTACTGGGCTATAGGGATGACGAACAGGTATGTGTATAATGCCTTTGAAGAGTGTTCTGTCACCCACAATGCCAGTGTCTTGCTCCTCTCTCTGAATCATCCTCCCACTCGTGTTGGAGTTTTCCTGGACCGAGAAGCTTGCACTCTCTCATTTTATGATGTTTCCAACCATGGAGCTCTCATCTACAGATTCTATGAACCGAACTTCCCTACTGCGGTTTTTCCATATTTTAATTCTATGGGTTGTTCAGAGCCATTGACAGTCTGTGGGCCACCCTCCTAAGCCTTTCCCCATATCTGCACAGTGTCCACATGTCTGATGTATCTCATATATCAAAGCTCTGTGGGATCATTTTAACTTTTTTTTCCTGCTTTGTTTGGAGGGAACCATCAAACTGCCTTGGCCTAGCTGACTTGAGAGGCATGAGTCATAGGTTTTTTATGTCAGAGTACGTGGCTCCTGGGGTACGCTGGGCCTTCCAGTACCCAAGAGATGAATGTGCTCACTTAGGCATGAAACATTCAGGCTATATTGCATTCTCTGTTCCCCCTAATAGTCAAGGAAGCGTGGAAATTTGACAGGACAATAGGTATTAGACATTAATCTTGGGTACCCTGTATAACCTGCCATCTTCATTGTTTTCTGACAAGTAAAATGCATTGATCCTGGCAATTGCCACTATGATCTGTTTCTGATAAAGGTATAAAAATCTTATTGCTCTCAATAAAATTGTCACAGCCTTTATCTTGCTGTGGTCCCTTAACCTGAGACTATTTCCATTCCCTGAGGCCATATCAGGTGACCTTGCCCTAGTAAGTGACCCCTAGCACTCCCATTTTGTCTTTCTATTTTAATAATTTTTTTCACAATGCAAACCAGTATGGATTCTTTTCCTTAATCCAATTGCTTGTCTGTTTACAAGGCAATAATAATTCATCATTTTCCAAATTCCCAAAGACAATATCTGTTCCTCACAAGGTGAGGTAAGACCTCTGCTAACCCGCACTTCCTGTTTTGTGCTGCCACAGATGGAAGCCAGGGCCTTGTGCATGCTGAGGAGGTGCTCTGCCCCTGAGCCACTTGTCTCAGCTGTGCCAAGTCTCCATAACCCCATTCCTCTGTCACTGACAGAAGATGACAGAAAGTACTGATATGGGATGTACTTCTGTATATGTCTTTCTTTTATTGCTCATTAATAGATTTGATTTGGCTTATGGAAGGGCAGAACATAGCCAGTATAGACGAGGTATATATATATAGAGAGAGAGAGTAAGTGAATTCAGAGTGATACCATGTAGCTGCAAAAGGAAAGAGATGTCCTGAACCTTACCCGGTAAGCCACAGTATCGTGAAGATACACAGATTAATAGAAATGGATTAATTTAAGATGTAAGAGTTCCTTAATGTGAAGTCTGAACTAATAGACCAAGCAATGTTATAATTACTATAGCTTCTGTGTGATTATTCTGGTCAGGGCAGCCAGGATCAAACAAGCAGCTTCCAACTACAAAGTTCCTCTCCAGCTCTTCTATTAATTTTGAAAATTACATGTAAGTGTCTCTTTAGCCTTGGAATGAGTTCTTAGTTGTAGGTCAATTTAACCACATTGCTGTGCTTCCTCAAAACTTAAGAAAGAAATATCTCTAATAGTAAGCACTAACGCTGTGAGACAATGGTTTTATCCTGTAAAAATTTCTTTCTTGTACTTGTTTAATAAATGCTGATTGGCCAGTAGCCAGACAAGACGTAGAAGCGGGTCAACAAGAATGCTGGGAAGAGGGAAATACAGTCTGCGGTCATGACCCAGATTCAGAGGAAGCATAATGTGACTGCCTCACCAAAAGAGGTACCAAGCCACATGGCTAACTCAGATAAGAATTATGGGCTAATGTAAGTTATAAGAATTGGTTAAGAAGAAGCCAGAGCTAATGGGCCAATCAGTTTATAACTTATGTAGACCTCTGTGTAATTCTTTAAGACTTAATGGCTGCAGGCCAAAGTGGGACAAAAAAAAACGTTAGTCAAGACGCTAACACTGTGTTCAGAGTACCTGGGTTCTAATCCTGCCACTCCACATAGAAGTGTAACCCTGAATAGCAACCTCAAAAGCCTATGCTTTATGGGATTTTTGGTTTTGTTTGTTTTTTTGTTATTATTTGTTGTTTTGTAAATATTTTCTATAAAGAGTATACACATACTATAAGTCAGTGTGAGAAAATAAATATGGATGTGTTAGAAGACTCTGAGGGTCAAAGTATCGTCCTCCAAGCCCAGTGACCTGAGTTCCATCACTTAACCCACATGGTAGAAGGAGGCAGCCAACTCTGACCTACAGATTATCCTCTGTGTTGACACATATGCAGTACACACAGGCCTAGACACATTCACAAATCTAAAATGAGTTATGTAACTGTTTTAAAAGGAAGTTCAATGCATACAAATCATCCAGAGAACACTCCATACATGGTTGTTCTGATAATTACTGAGTTTATGTTCTGATTCCATGCAAAAGTCAGGAGAAGGGACACATGAAGATTTCTCATTCCTGATGTCAAATTTACTCTAATATGCTGTAGATATCTATGATTATAACTTGGTTTTCACATTTATTTTGGACAGGATAATTGTAGTGGTGCTACATTTGTTTCTTATCAAATATGTAAATCCTATGATTTCCATTTTACAGTGAATGGTGGAGATGCCAGTGATGCTGTAAACTTCCCTTGTGCTGTGTTGTGAAATGTGAACAATAGAATGCTTCTAGGAACTTACAGCATGTCCATGGTAGGCAACATGGCGCCTGTTTGTCCCCTTCTCACTGTAACTGTAATAAAGGATTGTTGAGGCTGAGTACCAGAGCCCGGCATAATGGTTTTGATGCAGTCCTAGCACTCAGGAGGCCGAGATAGGAGGTTGCTGTAGATCTAGCCAGGCTCAGTTACAGAGTCAGACCCTGATGCATTTTGTCTCACCTTTAAAGAAGAATGTTCCAGGTTCTGGATGAGGTAGTTGGTTCAACGGGACACGGTGGAGAATTGGTGGGCAAAAGGAGTTTATTTTGAGTCAGTTTGCCATAAATAGAGAGAAGGGCAGAAGTGGGGAGTTAGGGGGGGTTGAGAGAGAGAGAGAGAGACAGACAGACAGACAGAGACAGAGAGACAGAGAGAGAAAGAGAGAAAGAAGACCCATCATGGTGAGTGCTCCCAGGAGAGCTCAGGGCCCACTAACAAAGAAGACTGAATGGAGAGATCTCTGAGGAGTACCAGGGTCCTGGTTGCTGAAGAACAAGACTCAGACTTTGTAGGATGGAGGGGTAGGTTCATAGCAGGCGCCTGCAGCCAGGCTCTCTAATTTCCAGGCAGGAGGCAGGACAGACGTGTGACACAACATAGGATGCTCTGTCATGAGAACTTACCTAGGTTAGTGTGACACCAGCAAGGCAGCTCCTGGGGACTCATTTTGAGTGAAGCTCCATCGGGTCTCTATGTGTGACAGCAGAGAGGCAGTTACAGGGCAGCATGTAGATTGGAGATTTAGCACTAAATGCTGGCAGAGTATGCATCAGCTACTCAAAACATCACCACGCTTTGAAGAATTACAATACCTGTATTATAAAATATCAGGGCAGGTGTGGCACACGCCTTTAATCCCAGCACTAGGGAGGCAGTTGTAGGTGGATCAAGGTGAGTTCAAGGATAGCCTGGCATACAAGTGCTAGTTCCAGAACAGACTCCACACCTACAGAGAAACTCTGTCTTGAAAAACCAAAACAAACAAAAAGTAAAAGATGATTTTATGTAAATTTTAAATTATTAATTCATTCAAGAAAAGATTCTATCTTCTTATCTCTCCAACATTCTTTTTGGTTCATATTTCTTCCATAATTGTGTTTCATGGGAAAGCCTTTCCTGTGTTGAAATAAATGTCAGCGTGTATTGACACAGTTAGACTCACACACATTGCCGCACTGCTTAGCAGCGTGGTCAGTGCTGTGCTCTCCTGGCTGCCTTCATTCTTGTCACTGAGGTTCAAGGCTGATGGCAGACCTGACCACAAAGTCAAATCTTTGCACAAAGACTGGAGTGGAATTGTGTCTCAGAAAGTTCATGAAGAGCTAGATAGCTGTCTGAGGATTTTATGTTTTTTATTACCAAGGAGGCCTTAGGAAGAAACAGAAAAGTACTGGATCAAATCGATAAAAGACAAAGATGGTGGCTCATCCCTATAACACCTGTACTTGCTAGATTGAGGAAGGAGTACTGCCAGCGGCTGGAGACCACACTGAACAGGAGAAAGCTCCAGCCCAGCCTGGGATGTGAAATAAAACGTTGCCTCCAAACCAAGACCAAACAAAAAGTTGTAAAGAATTTTCTATAATCATTAACAATTCAGAAGAATCAGATTATAATGTTGATTGACAGTCATTGTGTTCACAGCAAGAACAGAAGTTCAGTCTCTTGACCTCATCAAGGTGTAGAGTTTGGGCTAGGGGTTTAGCTCAGGGATGGAACACTGGCCCAGCATTCACAAGGTCCTGGATTCAATCCCTGAAGGGTAAAGACCAAATTAAAACGACAGCAAAAGCACATGGGCTCAGCACTGGGGCGGGGGGGGGGGGGAGTTAAATCTCAGCTAGAGGTCAGGCTGGAGTGCACTGTAAGAGCCCATCTCTAAAAATAAGAATAGAAAGAGGAGGACACGACAGGTATGTTAAACAAAACTCAGACTACGCTGTCATATCCTGCTGTCACTGTATATGTCATAATTTAGTAGATCTGAGAATACAAGGAACACATGAGATAGGTGTGCAAAAGTGGGGTGAGACTGAAAATGGGGACGGCTCATTTCCCTGATACAGCGTTTCATTTTTAGATAATTCTCATGTATCTCAGGCTGTCTTGACATCAAAGTCCCCTATTATTGAGAATGGTCTCTAAGCTCCTGAACTTCCTGCTGCCAGCTCCAAAGCAGTGGAATCATGTAACTTGTGGGGTGCCGGGTATCTGTCCCACCCGGTACCCCACAGCCAGCAATCCCCATAGAAAACAACAGAGTCTGCATTAGGTTATAAACAGATTGGCACATTAGCTCAGGCTACTTATTAGCTCTTGTAGCTTATGTTGACATATTGTTCTTATCTATGATAGCGACATGGCTCAGTACCTTTCTCAGCCGGGTAGATTACATCTTGCTTCTCAGAGGTCTGGACAGGAATAGGAGCAATGGACTTCCTCCTTCCCAGAATGCTCCTGTTCTCATCGCCCTGCCTCTACCACATGTCTGGTTGACCCGCCTATACTTCCTGCCCGGCCAATCAGCATTTATTTAAAACATGATTGACAGAATACAGAAAATTCTCCTGCACCAGAATCCTGTGGTGGTTTGAATAAGAATGGCCTCCATAAGCTCATATTTTTGAATACTCAATTTCCAGTTATTGGGTCTGTTTGGGACATTTTGGAAGGTATGGCAGTATTGGAGTATATGTGACATGGGTGTGGGCTCTGAGATTTCAATACATTCTGGGCATTTCAGGGTCTCTCTGTCTCTGGCTCAGGTTTGTGTCTCAAGTGTGACCTCTCACCTACAGCCCCAGCACCATGCCTCCCTGCCTGCTGCCATGATCCACACTGTGGTGGCCATGACCTCTAACCCTTTGAAACTGCAAGCCCCAAATCAAGCACTGTCCTTATAATCTGCCTCAGTCGTGGCATTTATCACAGAAACAGAAGAGTGACTAAGACAGACACATGCACGTGTCAGCACACCTGGGTGTGCACAGTGCTCAGGATCCAGCCCAGGACTCCACCCTGCTAGGCACCAACTGTGCCAACACAACCGCATCCCCAACTCTACACACATTCAGCTTCTAATTCAGGGGATGCTGAGGCAATAGCAACTGTCTCTTATAGAAACTCTAACTGGAAGGAGACCTGCAGAAACATTCTTAGGAGGGATTCCTAGAAGGGATGTAATGAATGTATCAGATCAGCACTGGGCAGAGGCACTGCTCTGGGCAGCAACAGAACACCTAATCTGCAGGACACCCCTGGGCAGCTGGAGAGCCCCTGCAGCTTGCTAGTTTCACTGCTGTGAGTGTGGGAAGTGTCTCTGCAGGACTCAGCATGGGGCTCCTCCCATCCTGTCCCTGCTGGGTGGGAATCTTGATTGTGAGCAGCTGCCCTGAATTGCTGCTTCCTCTCTGTTCTCATCCTGTAAGTGCCCAAGTCCAGCTTCAGAGGACACTAAAGTTCCCTGTCCTCACCTTGTCTTTCCTGTCCTTTGGGCCACTCCTGCCACACAAAGCAAAACCCAGCCAGGAGCTCAGGTGCAAAAGGAGCCCATGGGGAGGGCTTTCTTTCCATCAAGGGCAGCTTTCGCCAAGGCCAGCATCTTTTAGGGTGACTGTAGCTCTGTAACTCTGAGATATGTCCCAAGTTCCTG